ATAACAGCTTGAATTGGAAGGTTTACAGATGTCTACATTTCTCATGATGCCTCCAGCCCTAACAGGAACAGAGTGGTGGTTAGGAATGTGGGCTCTGGAGCCACACTGAATCCTGACTCACCCACAAACTAGCTCTCTGGCTTTGGACACAGCCTCTCTGTGCCTCAGTTTTTTCATCTGTAAAATGAGGATAAGAGTAACCATTCATATGGGGAAGATTCGATGTAAAGCGCTAGCACAGTGCTTCAAATACAGTAAGTGTGCTTGAAATTTCAGCTGCTGTTGCCTTACACTTACATTCACAGGCTTAGTCAAAAAAGAATGTCAATTACACAGATAACAGGGAATAATCCACATAGGAAACAGAGCAAGGAACAATGTTTAAATGATCTGCATGTAACAAGGGTTACATGCAGATCATCTGCATGTAACAATGGATACCCTGGAGGAGGGTATTCATTTCTTCAGAAGATCTGTGCTTCTGACTCTCCCAACAAACCTCTAATGCCCATAACATTTGTTTACAAAAGTGCCTGATTCTTTTACTAGCCAACAGATGCTAACTACACTGAGCCTGCAAGTTTGACTAGACGGATCCACGTCGCAAAAGGAATTTCCCAAAGTGTCCCAAGTCCCAAGCTGTTGTGAACACCAAATATCAGTTGTCTTGATAAATAAGTCATTACCTATACCATCTTCTGATCAGAAAGCTTTAAGTTATACTTGAGCTTTTTGAGAAGAGAAGTCATCACCCAGGTACCTAACATTAGAAAAAGATTTTAAATAAAATTTGTTAAAGATGTTAACCTTTAAAAGATGTGACCATTTTTGAAGGACTTAAAATTAACAAAGATTCTTTCTCCTTTCTTCTGTATCTTCAGAGTTCTTACACAATTTCAGAGCTAGAAGGAGCCTTCAATATTTTTGAAACCGAGGCTTTCAACAGCAACTACGTTTGGAAGCTCCTCTGAGTTGTCCCTGTGCTGCCAGCTTGGGTGAGGGACTGAACAAAACAGAGCAAGAGGGGATTCCTTAGGTGGCCATGCAAGTTAGCCAGGCCTATTATACTGGAAACAGCTCAGCCCATGGACGCTAATTAATCACCTAAGTGCATGCCATTCCTACTCTGTTGCTTTTTGAAACATGCAAATAGATAATTAAAATGTAACAATGTTACCAAAGGCTGGTACCCTAATGTGTCCTGGAGTAAAAAGCAAACACTGTATTATTCTGATTCATTAGCTTATCTTACCACTTAGATCATCTCTGGTCCCGGTAAACCAGTTTCTGAGACCATATGTGTTTTGTTGTTTAAAAAAAAACATATTCAGAAGGGGGGGTGGAACCTATTCTTTGGCAAATGGCCTATTTTGACAGAGAGAAAGTCTTTATAAGACTATCCTTGGGATACATTATCTAAGTTTTTTGTACCAACCAGAGACCCAGGTGGCCTAGAGGGCATGATTAACTCTATTTTTAACTTTTGGACAAACTAAGACTTGAAGCTATAAAAATAGATGATTCTTTGCTCTCTCCTCCCTAATGTTCCCAAGCTTGTTTTTGTCCAGAATCTTCATCTGCCTGCAAGACAGTCTCACCGTCTTGTGCTATTAAAGTACTGCAGTTGCTCAATTATAAGATGGTATCCAATGCAGTATCTTCCCAACTGAAAGAATCAACCCCTTTAATGATTACTTTTGAAGTCTACTTGGACTGCTATTTAGGGAAGAGGCAATAAGGCCCTGGGACGGTAACTATGGGCTGGGGAACCCAGCTGACAAGTCCTCTGCAAGGCAGTGAGCACAGGACAAAACCAGCATGTGCCATGAGGCCAGACAGACCAGGTTTAGAGCCCAACTTGACATTTACTAAGTCGAATGATGCTGAGCCCATGACCCAATTCTTAAATGGGTCTATTTGCACCTACCTCAGAGGAGCTGAAGGAAAATTCAGTCAGAGTGTATTTAAGGAGCCTAGGGGTGCCTGGGTGGCTCAGTTGGTTAAGTGTCTGCCTTCGGCTCAGGTCATGATCCCAGAGTCCTGGGATCGAGCCCTGCATGGGTTCCGTGCTCCGCTGGAAGCCTGTTTCTCCCTCTCCCACTCCCCCTGCTTGTGTTCCCTCTCTCACCATGTCTCTCTATGTCAAATAAATAAATAAAATCTTAAAAAAAAAAGAAACCCTTAATTTAAAAAAAAATAAAGAGCCTAGCAAAATAGGCTTAATAAATGTGATTTTTTCATCCCCAAACCTTGATGCATCTTTGAAAACTGCCCTAATGAGGGAAGAGGGAAACACCTGTATCTCTTGGCTCATGACAAAATAAGCAAGCAGACCCATTCATCAAAAATCGAGAGCAGTTGGGGCGCCTGGCTGGCTTGGTCGGAACAGCGTGTGACTCTTAATCTCAGGGTAGTAAATTCAAGCCCCGTGTTGGATGTAGAGATTAAAGATTACTTAAATAAATAAATTTTTAAAAAATCAACAGCAATTTAGTTAGGGAGTCCTTTTTTAAGAGGAGGAGGAGGAGGAGGAGGAGGAGGAGGAGGAGGGGGAGGAGGAGGAGGAGAAAGAAGAAGAAAGAAGAAGAAAGAAGAAGAAGAAAGAAGAAGAAAGAAGAAGAAGAAAACACCTACCCTAACATCTTAGAGCCAGGAAAGGAAGGAAATAATGTCTACCAGGCAATGAGGATACAACTGTAGCCAAGAAAGAGACCTTGAGTACCTTAAGGGGATTGCAGTGGATTGAAACAAGCAAGTAGGAAATTACGACACCCATAATAAATGCAACACCAGAAGTTACAGAACAGGTTCTGGGAGCACAAAGGAAGGGCCCTCCTTTGCATGTAGAATTGGAAGACTTCCCGAAGGAAGTACCTATGACAACAACAACAACAACAACAATAATAATAGCTACCACTTGCTGAGAAGTTACTATGTGCTTGGAACATGCTAAGTGCACTGATGGATTACCTCTTGTAATTTTCTGAACAGTGCAAGACAGCCACTACTATTACTGTCATTTTAAAGATGAAACAAAGAGGTTAAGAACTTTCCCCAAGGTCATACCACCAGCAAGTGGCAGGGCTAGGATTTGAACCCACACTGCCTGACCCCAGAGTCTAGGCACTTAACCAGCGCACCTACTGCTCTCTCTAAGATGAGACCAGAAGCCGTCAAACATTGGAGCATGAAAGTTTTGCAGGCAGAGGCTTGTGTATGGCTCTAGATGCAAGTCAGCACAGGGCCCCGGTTTGAGGGAACTGCAAATGGGCATTTAATATTTGTTAAATTAAGTCATGTTGAAGCTACCAGTGGTGAGCAATGAAGAAGAAATGAGCCAGAATGCACAAGCCTCAAAGACGCATTAAAGAGACTGGACTCAAGGGCCCGTGATCCTGAAAAGGTGCTCCAAGCCAGTATTTAATTTTCTCTAGAAACAATCATCTCTTTGAGGGAACCTTCCCAAGGGAGTAACTTCTAACTTTTTGTATAAAGAATTAGAAACATTATAGTTTACCAGTCATACCTGATATTCATTCAGGATCAAGTTTTTTTAAGGTGTATATAAAGTTCAAAATGAAACCGTAACTTGTCAGATTCACATTTAATATGCTATAGTTACATGGTGTTCTGTTAAAAAAAAAAACTTTTTCATGCTTGCAGTCAACTTTTTCTTTCAACAGGTGAGAAGGCAACAGAATACTTTTAGTGGGACTGTAAAAGTCAGGAAACAGATTTAGTAGCCGTCTTCAAGGAGACCTTGAGACAACGTGCCAACATGTGTGATGGTTTTTGTGAAACTGATCCAGAGATACCTTTCGCTGCCTTCCTGTCCTCATCATAATATTCTACATAGAAAGCACAGAGGCACGTCGGGGACGAAGCTGTCGGCAGCCATTTCAGCGGCCCCACAGCCTCACCTCCTGTAACAGTTATTAACGCTTACACTGAGTAAGAACCTACCGTAGGCGAGGCGCTGTTCACGGCATCTTCATATGTTAAAGACCCTCACGAGGGCACTGCAAGGTCGGTGGGTACTATTCTTATTCCCATTTGGGCAGTGAGAAAACTGAGGCCCAGAGAGTTTAAATAACTTACTGCTATGCAGAGAGCTGGCATCTGAACCCAGGCTGAGCGGTCCCACAAGCTGTGCTCCTGAGCATTGTGCCCGCTGCCTCTCCCAAGGCACACCTGCCTTTGAAATGGCATCACCGGTCCCAATGCACAACTGCCCGGAATTCCACACCCTGTGTTTCTCAAGCAGAAGGTGTTCCACACCCACAAATTTTCAAAGCTTTGATTTCTCAATGATAGCTAAACTTGGTCCCTGGAAGGAACAAGTTGGGGGCTGGTTCTAGGCACAAAGCAGAGGGGGTAGAATGAGAAACAGGAAAACATTTCTGAAGTGAGCCTGAGACAGTGAAACTAAGGAGAGCAAAAAAGCTTCCTTAAGGAGAGCACAGTAAATATGCTACCAGGTGAGGGGAGGCCAGCTGGTAACCAGAGACAGCCTCTTTCTCTCTCCAAGGACTGTACAGTCTGGGAGTTCTGGAAGTTCCTTATCAGCTCCCACCCACAGCTCCACCCTGGTAAACTGTTTTGTGACCCTCGCCAGAGCAGAAACACCTAGAATTCCCTAAACAGGGCAGCCACAGGGTGGGGGCAGGGGGGCCCAACTGGGCCAGGGCTCTCCTAGCCTTAGGTCCAGAGAAGAGGCCAGTGAGCAAGGAGGGGGTACACAGCAGTCAGCAGTAGATACTGTAGGGACAGGATGTTCCTTTCCCTTTACCCAGCTGGAAGAAAGCAAAGAACCTCTACCTCAAAAGAATTTTTCCGGCGACACACCATCAGATTTTGGGGTTAGTTTAATAGACAAACAGAGTGGGCCAGGGCAGAATGCCACTTCGTTTGCACTTTACTGTGAATTCTCATTATCTAACACCAAGTCGAATCTAGCTACACAGTGGTCACAGGGATTTCACTAGGTAATTTGGAACATTTGGAGGGGCAAGGGAGCTTGGCTGGATGCAAAGCGAAGAGGTCACACAAATGAAAAGGTGCAAAAGAAAACATCACTGAGGAAGATGTGGTCCATATATACAATGGAATATTACTCAGCGATCAGAAAGGATGAATACCCAACTTTTACATCAACAGGATGGGACTGGAGGAGATTATGCTGAGTGAAATAAGTCAAGCAGAGAAAGACAATTATCATATGGTTTCACTTATTTATGGAACATAAGGAACAGCATGGAGGACATTAGGAGAAGGAAGGGAAAAAGGAAGGGCGGGAAATTGGAGGGGAAGACGAACCATGAGAGACTATGGGCTCTGAGAAACAAACTGAGGGTTCTAGAGGGGAGGGGGTGGGGGCATGGGTTAGCCCGGTGATGGGTATTAAGGAGGGCACGTACTGCATGGAGCACTGGGGGTTATACACAAACAATGGATCGTGGATCACTGCATCGAAAACTGGTGATGTATTGTATGGTGACAAATGTAACATAATAAAATAAAATTTAAAAAAAGAAAAGAAAAGAAAACATCACTGACATCTAAATGCACCTCGAGTGAAAGCTGCCTTTCCACGAACCACACAGGAAGAGCTTCTCCACTCAGCCAAGGTCCTGCTCCCATTCCTCTACCGCAGCCCTGTCTGCCAGGCCTGGGCAACGCAGGAGCAGGCTGCTGAGCTAGCTCCTAAACCCCTCTCCCTTCTCCCCCTTGCTTTCCCTCTGCCAGTGCACACAGGACCCTGAGAGGGCCTGCAGGGGGAGATTCAGGGGTGGATCAAATAAAGGAATCCACAGGAATGTTTGATGTTGCCTCCTAAAAAGAGATGCCCATTAGAAGGACCTGTGTCTCTAACTGTAAAAGGGAGAGGCCCCTTTAACAGGTTGGGTTTTTGTATTCCCACGATTTCCTTGCAGAGGCCATTCTGCCCCACTACCCCCGTAAGGTAGGAGGGCTGTTGGGTACACCTTTAATGAGGGACAACCACACCGCAGGCAGCAGTGACGTTGCTGCTTGCTGCCTTCAAGAACAAGGAGCAGTGTTTGCTCACAGCTGGTGCTCAATAAATCTTGAGTGAAAGACCAAGACAGAGTATACTAAGTAATTTAAGAAAATTTCCCAGCACTCTCTAGTCCAGTAATGTGGTATTTTTTGCCCTTATTTTTATGCAATGCAATTCCCAGCTGAACCACACAGAATTATAAGCCCTACAGAGATGGGATTCTGAACATTCTGAAACTTTTTATTTTTAAATCACATGGGGGCAGAGCGTATTTCAGAGGCAAAGGGAAGACTTTTACAAGAGACCAAATGAGGAAAAGTTTCTTCAAAATGAGACATCTGGCAAACCTGGCAATTCAGTTTTTGTTTGTTGATGAACATTTCTTGGACCTGGGTTCCTCTCTGAATCATTCTTCTTAAAATAGAGGCTATATAGAGAGCATTTTGTCTAATTATTCTTCCACAGCAGGCTCCATTAAGAACACAGAGGAAACAGCAGTCTCAATCCAAAGTAATTTTTCATTTTCATATTAATTAACATTTTAACTCCAATTCAGCAATATTTGTTGAAAAGTGTCCTGTGGTTGACTCTGGCCTCACCCTTTCATAAATCTCCATGTCCAGATTTTCCTTAATGTGTCAACAAGTAAGATGCAGACATGATGCTCCTTTACCCCCAAATCCTTCAGAGGCTTTTAATGGACTACAAGAAGAAAAACAGCTCAGGCCTGGAACCAAATACTTTCTCTGAGAAGTAGTGGAGACAGCCAGCTCTGCCTTAAGCTAAGAGTGGACCCCAGACAACACTGAGAGGCTCAGAAATCAGGGCTTCAAGAACATGCCAGCTACCTCAAAACACCACCACAGCCCGCCTTGTCTTTCACTTCATTATTACATTGTCATCAATCAAGCTGACGTAGAAGAAGAAAGCCCTCTGCAAGGAAATCTTGGGAATACAAAAACCCAAACTGTACCTTGTTAACAAAACAAAAAACATGAAAAACACAAAAACAAAACAAAACCTGCCTAGACTTGAAGCTCCAAGATGTTAACAACTGCAGACCTATGCTTATTGACAGCATGTTCACATTTTTCTGCAGCTGCTACAGTACTAACTGTGGGAACTCCTTCACTATCTAAGTATCTCCTAAGCTCTAGGCAACTGCCATAGGGGCAGAGACACAGCGAAGATCAGGCAGATACAGCCTTGGCCTTCATGTAATGTATATTCTGATGGGCGGGACAGACTTCAAATGTTCCCAGAAATACCTCCCACTCCAAACAGAAGGACCCTCTAGATACACAGATACATGATAGCCCCAAATTCCCTTTTTTAAAAATTTTATTTATTTATTTATTTTTTAAAGTAGGCTCCAAGCCTAGTGTGGAGCCCAACACAGGGCTTGAACTCACGACCCTCAGATCAAGACCTGAGATCAAGAATCGGATGCTCGGGGCACCTGCGTGGCTCAGATGGTTAAGCATCTGCCTTTGGCTCAGGTCATGATCCCAGGGTCCTGGGATCGAGCCCCATGTCCGGCTCCTGGTTCAGCGGGGAGCCTGCTTCTCCCTCTGCCTCTCCCTCTGCCTCTCCCCCTGGCTCGTGCTCTCTCTCTCTCTATCTCTGTGTCTCAAATGAATAAATAAAATCTTTAAAAAAAAAAAAAAAGAATTGGCTGCTCAACTGACTGAGCCACCTAGGCAACCCCCAAAATTCCCTTTTAGAGTAAAAGATCATCCCATTTTATGGCTGAAAAAATGAGACACATTAAGCAATTTGCCAAGACCCTACAACTGCCTACCTTAGTTTGGCAAGACCTCAAGTCCACACTCTCTGACCATGCCAGGTCACCTCTGCCCTCTTACTGCTGCTGCCAGAAGCCCTCAGTAAGAGCACCAGGAAGAAATAACTCTACAACACATCCTGTTGCCATACTCAGAGCCTTCAGATAGGCCTATGTTCAATAAACACTGTTTTGTCAGAGTCCACAGTGCAATGTTATAATGCTCTTCTCTTCTCATTTCACTTGTGAGAAAATTTTTCTTAAGTTCTTCAGAAACTGAAAAGAGTCAATAACATAAGGAGCCCAAAGGCCTTTTTCATAGAGTAAACCTAAAATGGCTATTAGGCCCTGGAGGATTTCTAGCTGCACAAGAAAATGGGCCAGCATGTTACCTTACCTCTGTTTTTCTTATCCTGGCCAACTCAATATTAGCTAAGAGAATTTGCAAAACCATTTCCTCCCCCAATCTTAGAAAAATCTTACTACCTCCCAAACCAATTTAACAATACATTGAATAGTATCTTCCTGAAAACACCATATAAATCAAAAGGTGATGACAAATCATTCTAGGCTCATTAGGATGATTTACTAAGTGATGAATATTTTTTTGAGCAAACTATGAGTCCTTAAAATTTACTGTTTAAATTCTGAATTTTTCTAATTTTTTATTTTTTAAAGATTTTATTTATTTATTCATGAGAGACAGAGAGAGAGAGAGAGAGGCAGAGGGAGAAGCAGGCTCCCAAGGAGCAGGGAGCCCAATGCAGGACTCAATCCCAGGACCCTGGCATCATGACCTGAGCCGAAGGCAGACACTCAACCATCTGAGCCACCCAGGCGCCCCGAATTTTTTTTTAAAGATTTATTTATTTATGAGAGAGAGAGAGACAGCACACAAGCAGGAGGGGCAGAGGGAGAGGGAGAATCCCAAGTAGACTCCATGCTGAGCGTGGAGCCCAACAGAGGGTTCGATCTCATGACCATGAGATCACGACCTGAGCCAAAAACCAAGAGTCGGACACTCAGCTGACTGCACCACCCAGGTGCCCCTAAATTCTGAATGTTTTTAATTACCAAATTTTCAAAAAGTATCATCTCAATCATTTGTATGAATTCTTTAAATGTCTGCATAAACTTCTTTGGGAAGATGCCATCCCTCCTAATTGACTGGTTTTAGATTCAAAGACTGTTTTATTTAGTCTTTCCCACATAGTGAATAGTTGGGGGTCAAGAGACTGAGACTTCAGCTCAGTTATTATGACATGCAACCTTAAACAAGTTGGTTCATTGTTCTGTGATTACTTATTTGTACTGTGGGTACATGAAGAGTCTTTATGCATTTTACAGGGGTAGTAAAGCCAAATGAGATTACAAAGGTAACTGCAAAAGGTATTATTTAAAATCGAGATTTTGATCATCTTTCTGTATGTATCTGGCTCCTAGCACAGAACCTACCACAGTGTAGAAACTCAGTAAATGTCTGAAGAAAGAACAAAGTTCACTTCTATAGAAACTGACAGCATTCATCAAGTACAGGAAAGGAAACCTAACCTTAGGGAACCAAATGGTGGGTCAGGTTAACCACAATAAAAATAGGCAATACACATGCAGCCAGCAGGACCACAATAAAAGGCTCTGCATCTCACCACCAAAAACTGAACCACCCATCACTGCATGCCACACAGATACACAGGGGCAGGTCAAAAACATCACCCAAAACCAATTCTGTTTCTCAATCCATCTAAAATGTACCATCTTCTTTTCAATGAACCTCTAACCAAGATATCAAAGTATTCTTTTTTTTAAGATTTATTTATTTATTTTAGAGAGAGAAAGAGAGAGAGCACCCAAGCAGGGGGAGGGGCAGAAGGAGAGGAAAGAGAATCTCAAGCAGACTCCAACTCCCCACTGAGCGTGGAGCCTGATGCAGGGCTGGATCTCACCACCCTGAGATCATGGCTGGAGCCAAAATCAAGAGTCGGCCACTTAGCTGACTGAGCCACCGAGGAGCCCCTCAAACTATTCTTACAAGTGCACTCTTCTAAGGTAAAATCAACTTTGCAGTAGAATAAGATAGTTCTATAAATAATGTCTAGTAAATCCTTACTATGTGCTAAGTGAGAAATTTTGAGTTATTTCAATCCCTATTCTTTAATAAAATGTGTTGCCAACTCCTTTCAGATGTGAAGGGGTCTCTCACCCTAACAGTGTGCTCTCCTACCCCAGGCAGGCCACCCAGTCTCAGAGTCTGGAGCTTCAACTCCCCAAAGACCCCAGACTTCCAGAATACCTGAGATCAGGGAGAAGCCATAGGAACTGCTTTGGGGTTGAGGTTGGATGGACAGACAGAATGGGGCTGAGGACAACCCCCTCCCTTCCAGGGGGCTCTATGAAAGAGAACCTAGACTTTTGTGTTTTGTTTTGTTTTGTTTTTAAGATTTTATTTATTTGAGAGAGACAGAATGAGAGAGAGAGAGCACATGAGAGGGGGGACGGTCAGAGGGAGAAGCAGACTCCCCGCTGAGCAGGGAACCTGATGCGGACTTGATCCCCGGACTCCATCCTCGGACTCCAGGATCATGACCAGAGGCCGAAGGCAGTCGCTTAACCAATTGAGCCACCCAGGCACCCTAGACTTCCGTGTTTTAACACAGGGGAATCAGAGCATGCCATGATGAGGATCAGACTACATGAGCTATCAATGCAAAATGCTGACATTGATGCTAATTACAGATGTTGGAGAACCAACAAATTAATAAACAAGAAACTGTGAAAATTTGATTTGGTCATGTAAAACTTAATACTAACTATAGTCACTTATGTGAGCTGCTAACCTAATTACCATGCAGCACAATAATGATCATGCATATCATTAAAAGTGTCAGATTGGCATGTGAATGTTAGATTTCATCACAATGCTAAACTGAAGTCACCCATAAATTGTTTCACACCTAGCATATTTGTTTACTCACAACTTCAAGCTGAAATGAACATCCCCGGGTGAACAAGAACTTGTGTTGTTGTAAATGCATCAACAGTCCCTGGGCACAACCTGAAAACTGGAATAGCAGAGATTCGTGGTGGCTCAGACTACTAGAGATTCCAGAGGCAAGAAATGTATCTTGCAGTTTTATTATAGAAGTCTCTGTAGTCAAACCGCCATTTCTCTTCTGTTCATCTGAGTAAGGATTCTCTGCCCCACACACCATCATGCTTCACTCTAAACTGTCAAGAATTTAGAATAACAGGAAATTTGGAGTTGAGGCAGGCAGATGGCTGGATTTTGGCTGACTGGAGAGAAAAGCTTCCTCTCGGCACAAAGGGTGTGGTTTGGGTTTCTTAACGACCATTCAGGGCTGGGACTCCCGACATGGCCAATCACAAGGCCCCGCCAGGCAGCTTGTGTTGCCTTTGCCTTTTCTAGGAGTTTCAGTCCTAGGCACTCAGTCCCTGGGCTTCAGGAGGACACATTCCCATAGCTAAGGACCAGGACTGTGAGCAAGGAAGTCCTGGGTGGCTAGATAATAGCCCTGTGGGTTTAAGGATGCCCCTCACCGCTATCCTGTGCACACAGAGGAGTTTATTTTAGCAGACCACAGGCCGAAGCAGACCACAGTTTAGCTCTAAACTGTAGAAAACCCTTAGAATCAAATCTAGATACCATTTTGCAAGAAGTGCTGGTTTGGTTTTCTGCACATGTCTCAGTAAATAAATGACTGCCAATCCTGAGAGGAGTAAGGTCTGTCTTTCCTTCTTCCCATATCACTGGTTCCTTCTCCGTTCAGGGGTTCATGGGTCTTTTCTGGAAATACCCACTTGGGAGATTTAGCTTTCATCACAATAAACAAAGGAAGAATAAAACAAACCAAAAGACGGATTTATCTGCCTGATTTTCAAGAAGTCATCATACAACTGTAGGCCTCCATCTACAAACTTCTATGACCCCCCCAATACGTAATGGGGCTGTTCTAAAGCAAACACTGTGCTTGTGCAGGAGAGGGGGGAAAAGTATGTCATTTCAGTTATGACTTAACAAAAATCCAGTCCTATAAAAATCCACTCTCTCTTTCCATTGTCAACATCCTATTTAAATCCTATTTAGTCATCAACCTCTCCATTGCAAATCAACAACTACCAAGTCCTATTCAGGTGACCTCCTAAATATCTCTCCAATTTGGCCTCCTCTCCCTACCCATTGTTACTGGCCTTAAGTCATTTTTGTACCCCTACTCAATTTCAACCCCTGGATCCATTTCCCAAAAAACTGAAGTGATCTTCCGAAACTGCAATTCCATCATTACCTTCAGTACAAAATCCAGCTCCTTAACAGAGGCATGATGGCTTCGCCTCTGCCTGCTGTATCTCAGATCCTCTCCCTCCAATCCACAGCACCCCACCACCCTCCTTCCCAACAGGCAATTACCTACAGTTTCCTGAATGTGCCCCACTCTCCATATAACCATTCCCTGCATATGCGGTACACTCCCTCTCAGCTTAGAAGAGCCCTTGCTTTCCCCCTTCTTTGCCAGTACAACTCCTATGAGCTCTAATATTCCACTCAGACTTCTCTTCTTCTGGGAGGCACATTTCCATCACACCTGGAGTTGCCCCCATCCCCACCCCTGTCCTAAAGGATTCCTACGTGATCCCCCAGCATCCCTCTGCTTCCCAGCACTCACCACACTGTTATCCGTGTTGCCCATTACAAGATTAGAGGCTGGGATTGAGATTCTTTTCTAACTCCACTGGCTAGCACATGGTCTGGCACCTATTAAATGAAGAAACTGCCATCGTCTTTTGGTTCCAAATCAGCGCAACTCCCCATACTCCCCAAGAGGGTTACGAAAAAAGCACAGAAGGGGAACAGAAGGGGGACTGGGTGTTAACTGCTGCTCTCTGACTACCCTGTAAACTACTGAAAGAAAAAAGAAAAGAGAGAGACTACTAAAATGACTTTACATTAATGATGATAATTATTATGGTTAATGTCAGTTGAAGGCACAGAGCATGGTGTTGTGGATAAAGCACAGACTCTGCAATCAGTGAGATATGGGATTGAATTTAGATAAGTAACACAAAGTCTAGGTCTGTGGTTTTACCGAGAATTTATTTAAGTCTGGGAATTGGTCTAGTGTAGGACTGGGCACGTATAGACCCATCCCTGTTCCAGTCTCACCGTACTACACGGACTTGGGTGAATGAGGGAGAAAAAGAAACACGTTCCCAGGCAAAAGCTGATGGTGACAGAAGTCAGAATAGTGGTTTCCTCAAGGAGGGGCATTTTTGGCTGGGAGGCGACCAAGAGAGCCTTCTGGAGTCTTGGAAATGTTCTATGTCTTGATCTAGCTGATAACTACACAGATGTATACACTGATAACACTATATTGTTTTGTACACTTAATGTCCATGCGCTCACAGTATATAAATTACACACTCTCTCTCTGTGATGGAAGACAACCCCAAAGACAAGGCTCTGAAGTCCAAGTGTGCTTGCAGATTGAAGGCTCCTGGTCACTGACAGCAGTGATTCTTAGCCTTGGGGCCAAAGTGTTGTTATAAAAGGTCAGTAGGCATTGACAGTAGGCAGAATAAATATCTCATCTACACATATTACAAAGTCCCAAAGGTACAGAGAAGCTCCCATACTTAATAAAACACATTTATTGCAGAGTATTACTACCTTCACAGTCATTTTGTCATAACATATTTCCTCAATCAAAAGATACTCAAAGTACAACCACAATCCTGTTGGGACTGAAACAATTTTTGAAGTAATCTCTCTCTTTTTCTCTTTCCCTCCTTCCTTCCCCTTTCCCTTCTCCTCCTTCTCCCCCCCCTTTCTTGCCTCCCCCACTCCCTCCCCATCTCCCTCCCTCCCTCCTCTCCCCACCTCTCTCAGGCCTAGAGCTAAAGTCTAAACTTGATCAAACCAGCATCCAAGCTGTCACCCGCCCAGCCTACCAGCCTCCCCTTCACTGGTTCCAGTGGTAGTCTTCACACCCCTGGGATGATTCACTCACTGCTCAAACAGATCTTTCCCAATGTAGCTTCTCTACCTTTGCCCCTAGCTGTTCCCTAAGCTAAGTCTTGGGCTTTCTTCAAGGGTGGGTCTCAAGTCCCACCTCCCAGAAGTCTATGGGGTGGGAGGAGGGCTCTGCAGACCCTAGCCCTCCCCACCCTGCCACCATCTTCTCCTCTTCCAAAATCCTTTAGCACACACTGTTTACCTCCAAGGCTACATGCTGAGTACCTAAGGAGAATTGTTATTACAGATGAGGAAACAGAGGCAAAGAAATTAAGAAAGTCATTTATTATCTCTCAATTGGTAGGTGGCAAAGGCAAGATTTGAACCTAGACAACATGACTCCAGAGCCATTTATCTGATACGGACTTTATTTACTTTTCTTTTTAAGATTTTATTTTATTTGACAGAGAGAGACACAGCGAGGGAGGGAACACAAGCAGGGGGAGTGGGAGAGGGAGAAGCAGGCTTCCCGCGGAGCAGGGAGCCCGATGCGGGGCCTCGATCCATCATGACCTGAGCCGAAGGCAGACGCTTAACGACTGAGCCACCCAGGCGTCCCTGTTTATTTACTTTTTATTTTGAAATAATTTTAGGCTTACAGAAGAATGGCAAAGGTAGTACAGAGTTCCTGTATACCTTTTCACTCAGCTTCCCCTTATTCAACATCTTACATAACCATGGTACACTGACCAAAATGTAAAACACGAATACTATATTGTATATAGTATATTGTAATAGTACAATACTATTAACTAAACTGCAGGCTTTATTCAGATTTCCCCAGTTTTTACACTCAGGCCCCTTTCCTGTTCCAAGACTGCACTTTACACTTAGTAGTCATAATTCCTTAGTCTCCAGTCAGCAACAGTTCTGCTGTCTTTCATGACCCTGTCACTTTTAAAAGAGTACTAGTCAGGTATCTTGTAGGATGTCCTTCAACTTGAGTTTATCTGTTTTCTCATGATTACACCACAGGGACAGATTTTGGGGAAGAAGATCAGAGGTCAAGTGCGCTCATCACATCCTTATAAGGGGTAAGTGATAGCAACACGACTTACCACCAGTAATGTTAACCTTGACCACTTGGTTAAGGTGGTGTCTGCCAGGTTCTTCCACTATAAAATTATTGTTTTTCCCTTTCCATACTCTGTGATTTGGAAGCCAGTCTCTAAGTCCAGCCCACAGTCAAGAGGAGGGGAATTAAACTGCATCTCCTGAAGAGAAGAGTTTCAAAGAATATGAGGGCATGGGTTGAAAGCGTAACAGTAATCAATAGATATTTTAGGGAAGATGCTTTGAGGCTATGCAAATATTGTTTCTCCTTAAACTTTTACCCACTAATTTTAGCCTCCATTAGAGATCTTGCCTGCAACAATTATTACTATGGTGTACTAAAGGTGATTTTCTATTCCCCTCATTCCTTCTATATTTAGTAGTTGGAATTCTTCTGAAAGGAAGAGCTATCTCTTCACCCCCATTTATTTATTCAGTTGTTTATATCATTAATTTGTGGATATTTATTTTATTCTTTGGTTTATAATCCAATACTACTGTTATTTATTTTGCCATTCAAAGTGTTCCAGCTTTGGCTATTGAGAGCTCTTTCAGGTTCGCTTCTGTGTTCTTTTGATGTGCCTCTGTCTTTTTTATTTTCCCTGCCCCCATCCTGAAATAAACCATTTCTCTGAGGAGTTGATAGGGTCATTTTATCATTGTTCTAATCAAGCCAATTTCTTTCTTTTCTTCTTTCTTTCCTTCTTTCCTTCTTTTTCTTTTTGTTACCTTTTTTTTTAAGATTTATTTATTTATTTATTTATTTGACAGAGAGAGAGAGAGAGAGAGAGAGGGAACACAAGCAGGGGGAGAGGGAGAGGGAGAAGCAGGCTTCCTGCCGAGCAGGGAACCCAACTCAGGACTCGATCCCAGGATCCTGGGCTCACAACCTGAGCCAAAGGCAGGCACTTAATGACTGAGGCACCCAGGTGCCTCAATGTTACTTTTTTTAATCAAGAAAACAACCTTGCAATCAACATACATCTTCAGAGAAAGTCATGTAATAAAAAGTACCAACAAACAAAACAACAAACAAAATTTACTTACAGTATCATCAGGCTCATTTTAGACTAAATGAATACAGTATATCCCAGTCAAGAAATCAATAACTCTTGAGAAGTTAAAAACTTCAAGAGAAACAACATATATTCATATAATATTTTACTGACTGACTTCTCTGAAACATGCAAAAATTCACACGGCTGATGGAATTTTCCACGTTAAAATGTTGCTCAACACGACAAATTCCTAACAAAAAAAATATTTTAATGTAAGAAGCAACATGTGAACATTCCATTTAGGTGGTAAAATTCAGGTTACAATAATAAGATAAATATCAAATAATAGCCTTCTGGTCTAATGGAAAACATAACAGTTGTGACAGTCATGAATCAAGCCAATTTCTTAAGGGAACGGACAAATTTTGTACTCCTAAAATATTTCTTATAGCAGTATGCATAACATACAGTGATCAGGCACTAATCAGTGTTTGCTTATGAAAGCTTCAAAGCAGAAGAGCAATGGCCCACTTACACACTCGCATAGATGAGAGGACAGACAGACTAACTCCTCTCCTGACCTACCCTCTGGATGAGGTATAGCAAAGACCTGGCCCAGTTCCAGCACACAGTAAGAGGATAGTAAGTTGTGGTCTGACTCTGCAACTGCTTTATGACGTGCTGATGTACATTCCTTAGTAGCCTGGCAGGACATGCTACAAACATTGCCTTGTTTTATGGATGGGAAAACTGAGGCACAAATGAAGTGAAAAAACATTCCCAAGATCATTCAGCTAGAGTGTGGCTGAGGTGGTACTAGGTGGAAGGCCCCAAAGGACTGCTCTCCCATGCCCTTTCCCAGAGGCAGGGTGCACTCAGAAGGAGGAAGGTTCCTGGAGACAATGTTTCTTGCAGATTGCTTTTTCTGTGGAGCCCATGTCCTCTTCCCTTCAGAGTTCACACATGGAGAGACTAGAGGATAAAACTAGGAGACCTACATACTTCCCAGATCCCAGGGACCTAGACAGGCCTAGACCAAGCTAAAACTCTATGGACAAGAACTTAAAGTTTAATGTACAGGTTTTGTCCAGGTAGCTACAACAACACATAAAAGGCTAAAATAAAAATCCATGAAGGAGGGAGAGACAAGACTTAGATTTTGTTCCACTCAAACCCAGATGGCCACATGAACCCAAAGACCAATCCTAACTTCTAAGAATAAATACTAAGTTCACAATGAGAAACAAAGAGGTTAAAACAAATGTGAATCAAGGGGCACCTCAGTGGCTCGGTGGTTGATTGGCTGGCTCTGGGTTTTGGCTAAGGTCATGATCTCAGGGTCATGGGATTGAGCCCCACATCAGGTTCCACACTCACAGGGAGTCTGCTTGAGATTCTCTCTCCCTCTCCCTCTGCCCCTCCCCCATTTGTGCTCACTCTAATAAATAAATCTTTAAAAAAAATGTGAATCACAATTAAAACAATGATAAAAAGCAGCAGGTTAAGCCTATGGGTGTCAAAATCTCACAAGTCCCTAGTATCTGGTAATGAGGAAACCTGATACCAGCCAGATTCATCATATGATGACTCCAGTAACCTATTATTTCATCACCAAAAGAAAATCAGATAACACCTTAGCAATGGGAAAGCATTCAAAAAAATTATGTGTGTATATACATATAAATAAATTAAATGGTGGTCATTATGTTTTTAGATAACATTCACATTTTTTCAGAGTCCCAGACTTGTGGTCTGAACTCACAGCTGATTCAATCCACCAAAAAAGTGTATTTCTACCCAGTGATTTGACTTTTAAAGAAGTGGCTTATAGGTAAATTGGTTTTTTAGAATGATGACCAAAGCCCACAATAAGCCAGTTCGAAAGCATCAAGATCAAGATAAAAAACTTATTAAGTTATAAGCAGTCAATTTTATAGATTACAATGGGACCCCCCCAACACACACACAAAATAAATCTTGGGTTTAGCTTCTACTAGATCATTTTGTTAGTACCAGCAGCTTATACAAAATTTACAATTACATACACATTCCTTTCAGCAAACAAAGGTATTTTTAAATGATTATGAAAACTCACTCAAAAGAATTAGGTCTTCATAAATACCTGCCAAATGAATGAGGGGAAGCTAAAGTATACCAGGGCTGCAATTTTCATCAGTTCTCTCTGTAAATTAATGATACAGTTCACAAAAGAGTAAATATTAAAGAGAGGTAAAATATTAAAGAGAGGTAAACAGAAGTGATGGTAACTGAAGATAATGCATCTAACAGATGATAATAGGTAAAGAAAAGACATTAAGAAAAAGCTCTATGAATCTGATTGACGAAGCATAATAAGTAAAAGTACTGGATCCTAATTTCTCATACACTCTTTCTTTAAAAAAGAAAAAAAAAACACAATCCACCCACTGGGTGGGTGGGGTGCCTGGGTGGCTCAGTCAGTTAAGCGACCAACTCTTGAGTTCAGCTCAGGTCATGATCTCAGGGTCATGAGATCCAGCCCTGCACTGAGTTCTGTGCTGGGCATGGAGCCTGCTTAAGATTATCTCTCTCCCTCTGCCCCTTCCCCCAATCTGTGCACTTGCTTGCTCGCGCTTGCTTGCTCTCTCTCAAATAAATAAAATCTTAAAAAATAAATAAAATTTTAAAAATTTTTAAAAATTAAAAAATGAACCAGTTAAACTTTAAAATGAAGCACTAAGTCCTGAATCATTGACTTAAAAACCTTTTTGAAAGTCTGCTCTGGGTCTGCCAAAGATGGCAAAGGGCTGCCGATGAGTGACTAGCAAGAAAACTATTCTCCAGGTAAGTCTTAAACATACAATTATGAGATAGCAATAGATTAAAATGTAGCAAATCTGGAATCCCTGCCAATTTTAGTATCTGAGGTATTTGCATTTGTAGGTAAAAAGTAATAGAGCTCATCTATTATTGCTAAGCATATAGGACCCACAGGTGTTTCCAGAGCTGTTTAACTAGGATATAGAATATACCACATTTCCCTTCTATGTCTACAACCTGGGGACTCAAGATGTCTTTCTTTCTGTTAGCCATGATCTCCACACAAAATAAACTCTAAAGGCCCAAATGGAAAACCTCAGTCCTGGGTAAGTCACTTAACCTCTCTGAATCTCATCAGTAAAGTGGTCACTAATACCTCTATCACAAGACTGTGAAGATTAAAGCACTAAAGATTATGGGAAACTAACATCTCCTATCTCTAAATCCCAGGCTTCCCAAACTACTTATCAACAATCATTTGAACAGGCTGGATAATATTCTCTGAAAATCATTTTATGGACAAACTAATTATTATGAGATAAAATATTTGGTCATAAATCACTAATGAGGTAGGAGGAGTGGAGAGAACTGTTAAAAAGCAGAGTGGGTAGCAAGAGTTTGAAATAACTACAAATACACAGGCCTCTGGTTTCTTGCCAATTGTTTAGATTTACTTCCCTTGCATACACTTTGGCCTTGGTGGTACATCTGGCAGTCACGTGTCCAAAAACAAATCTTTATCACTTTGAACTTGGGGAAGGGGGGTGGAGGAGGCTGAATTTTCTCCCACATGAAATTCATGAATGCATTAACCTGTCTGAGAGGGAGATGGGAATTTTCTAGAAGAAAAGTTTGAAAGAAGCAATATGGGAGGCTTTTTCCTTTTCGTGAGCTGCGGGGCATTCCCCTATATCCTCTAAACTAATATATTATTTGGCATAAGTTTAAAGACATTCCCCTCATCTGATTTTCCTATATTCCAGGGAAACTGCCAATGGGTTTTCTTTGTTTGTTATTTTTAAATAAGCCTCTCATTTTATGTAGTCAAAGTGTTCCAAAGGGATTTTGTGTTACATTCTCAGATAAAAGGAAGAATCCCCAACTGCATAAAAACTAAGGACTCCAGAGCCAGTCTGCCTGGGTTCAAGACCAAGTTCTACCACTTCCTAACTTACTACCTGGGGCAAGCTATGTGACTTCTCTGTGCTTCAGTTTTCTCTTCAA